GACCAGTGGGGTCCCCCAAGGCTCTGTCCGTGGACCCATACTGTTCAACATCTTCATTAATGATGTGGACACTGGAGTCAGAAGCGGACTGGCCAAGTTCGCCGATGACACCAAACTTTGGGGAAAAGCATCCACACCAGAAGACAGGCAAGTTATCCAGGCTGACCTGGACAGGCTCAGCAAGTGGGCGGACGAGAATCTGATGGTGTTCAACGCCGATAAATGCAAGGTTCTCCACCTTGGGGAAAAAAAACCCGCAGCATCCTTATAGGCTCGGCAGTGCTATGTTGGCTAGCACTATGGAAGAAAGAGACTTGGGGGTCATCATTGACCACAAGATGAACATGAGCCTGCAATGCGATGCGGCAGCTAGTAAAGCGACCAAAACGCTGGCTTGCATCCATAGATGCTTCTCAAGCAAATCCCGGGACGTCATTCCCCCCCCTGTACTCGGCCTAAGTGAGGCCGCAGCTGGAGTACTGTGTCCAGTTTTGGGCTCCACCCTGGAAAAGCGCAGGCTCAGGGGTGATCTGATGGCCACCTACAAGTTTATCAGGGGTGACCACCAGTATCTGGGGGAACGTTTGCTCACCAGAGCACCCCAAGGGATGATGACTAGGTCGAACAGTCATAAACTACGACAAGACCGTTTCAGGCTGGACATAAGGAAGAATTTCTTTACTGTCCGAGCCCCCAAGGTCTGGAACAGCCTGCCCCCGGAGGTGGTTCAAACGCCTTCATTGAACACCTTCAAGAGAAAATTGGATGCTTATCTTGTTGGGATCCTATGACCCCAGCTGACTTCCTGCCCTTTGGGCGGGGGGCTGGACTCGATGATCTTCCAAGGTCCCTTCCAGCCCTAATGTCTATGAAATCTATGAAAGGGAAAATAGTTGCACAACAGGAAAGAAAAACTGAGATGTCAGTAATTCCAGGCCTCAGTAAAAGGAAAAAAGGGGAAATGAAGAAAATTCCAGATTATGAAGTTCCAAATGCTGAGACAAGCAAACTACTTGAATTATCACATGAGTGGACATTTATAATGGGCAAAAGAGACAAAATGGAGCTGCTTTGATTATGTATCAGACCATGGTTGGCATCAGCGACAGATCCAGTGGGGGAGAAGGTGCAATGGTACACTTGCATCCCCTCTCTGATTCCTGGTCCACCCAAAGTTTAAAACTAACTATCTAGCAGTGGCAGCAGCATTTCTAGCCAGAGGCCACATCTACACAAGCTGGCTGTGCAGTAGCTCATTGCTACTGCACAGTAGCGTTGCATGGCACAAAGCATGATGCAATGCTACTGCACAGTAGTAAGGAGCCACTGCATAGACAGCACCACCAAGAAGCTGTTCAGGGATGCTACTGCACAGTAACTCTAGTTACTAAGCAGTTATTTAGTACTTGTGTATGCAAGTGCTAAATGACTGTGCAGTAACTACTGAGCAGTCAGCATCTCATGTAGACATAGCCAGACAGTACTTCATGGGTCATCATAATTTACCTGATGCATTCTAAATTCTTCATTCCACAGATGTGAATGACCCTCTCTTCTTTTTAATGGTTTTGATGTTCAAGCTAGCCTTTGTACTGCAGTTCTGCTGTCTTGTTTGCTACTCCTGGGAATGAAGCTCCTATTTCACAGCCCTGCAGATTGAAGCAAAAACAAGCATAACTTCATTGGAATGAGTTAAAAACAATCTTAAACCGCATAATCTAGCCCTAGCCCCCTAGCATATTAATAAAACTTCTAGTTTACTTTTAACTGCAGAAAACTGTATTGTTTTGTATGTGATGATGCACTTCACCATCTGCACCCCCCACACACATCCTCACCCCTTTTCAAAATTCTAGATCTGCCCATGGACGGCATAGACAGAATTGTCCAAGATACTATTGCAATGGACCAGTATCTTTTTTTTTTTAGCTGGGTGCTTTCAAAAGCTTCCATTATGCAGGATGGAAGTCCAGGAACTCTGCACCTGCTCCACCCATCTCAAATCTTCAAAGGTGATAAAGTGAATGTGGACCCAGCTGACACACGGAAAAAGTTTTTCCCCAATAAAATCTTCATTCTGAGAGGAATGAGGAGGAGTCCTTTAAAATAAACCTGAAACCAGTGCACATGTGTGTCAGATTCCCATTTCTCTCACTCCACTCTTCCCAGACTGGGAGCCTGACTGTCCAGCTCTCCCAAAAGAGAACTGGCTCTGAAAAAGCTGATTCCCCTGACACTTGCTGCCACAATTCTACTGCTGCATCCATGTTGTGGAAACAGAAAGTCAAAGCCTGACTCTGTTCTCTTCACCTTCTTCTTTATGCAGGTGCAGTGAAGCTGACACTTGTTCCTCAGTACAGGTAGCACAGAGAATGGGAAGGCAGAGGGCAGCACCTGCTGTCTCACTGACCATGGCAGGTGCATCCAGGTGAGCACACCTGCCCTGCTGCTGACCATCAGCAGACAGAGTGCAGGAGAAAATCTTCTTGGGTGCTGGGGACATTGTGGTGATACAGCTGTCCACACTGTGACTGCAGCTTGGGTGAATATCATGGAAGTGGCCCTGCACAGGCTGCATGCCCTCCCAAAGAAGCGTTTGCCCATTGCCCCACCTCCCTCCACATCTGGATGGAATTGATGGTTTGTCTCTCCCCCCTCACATAATGCTTTGCTGCTACAGCTCTCCCCACGGGTGGTCATGCTAGATGAGGGTGCTCTGCAGGACCTACTACCCCATCACCTTCCCCAGGTTGCTATGAACTCACTCTGCAGTGGGGAGTGAAGTTTGGGCAGGCTGATGGGGTGCAGAGTTGTGGCACATCAAGGGGTCCCCTCTGCCTCTACGCAGGGCTTCTCCCAAGCAGCAGGACTGCATCAGCAGCAGTAAGCAGCATGCAGCCAGGCCCCTTTATAAGGGGAGCGTGGAGCTGCCCAGCCAATCAGAGCCTACAGGGAGGGTTGCATTCCTGGGCCTGTGGTCAATACACAGCTAGATGGGGGCAGTGACTTACTCAAAGCAAATGACAGTCAGCTGAGCCTGGAGGTGTACATCTAGCCCAGTCTGAATCCGCAAACTTAGTCAGCTTCATGAGTGGCCATGCAGACTAATGCGGTGAGGCTGGGAGTCTGGGGCGGCTTTTAGAGACTGCCCAGCACAGCTGCTTGTGATTCAGGGCTTGCAAGCGAAGTATGGAGATTTAGAAAAAGACTAATGAGGCTACTTCCTACAGTGTAGTGTCTCCCTGACCCCACCAGGGCCCATCTGCAGAGCATTCAATCCATGGGGTGCATCCACACATGCAAGCACATGTGCTTGCAGCAGCTCAAATAACAGCGACACAAATTTGTGCCTCAGCGCACATGCCTGAACATGCACTTTGGTGTGGGACAAATTGTGCCACTTGGGGCAAACTGATCCTGCCCAGCTCCTCCCAGATCTTCAGCCAGGGGCAGCTAGAGGTTGGGGCCAGCTCTCTGTCAGTTTGTGGCCATTGTTCCTAGTTACTCCAAGGAGTGTCCTGGTAAACAGGTCATCTCCTATTCCATACTGTCCTCCCCTGATGAATTTGTAGGTGGCCACAAGATCACCTCTCAGCCTTCTCTTGCGGAGGTTGAAAAGATCCAGGGCCCTCAATCTCTTCTCATAGGGTTTTGCCTGCAGGCACCTAACCATCCGAGTGGCCTCCTCTGAACCCTCTTTGGACCTATTTATCATGCACCTGCTAAAATGTGATTAGCTTTACTGATCATTTCATCACATTTATGACTCATGTTCATCTTGGTGTCAACAATGACTCCACGATCCCTTTCTGCTGCTCCTGAGAAGGTCCTCCCCCAGGCTGTAAGCTGACGACTCCTTCTTCCTAGGTGCAACACCTTGCATTTGACCTTATTGAATGCATCCTATTCTGTTCTGCCCATTTTTCCAACCTGTCCAGATCTAATTGGATTCATTCCCTACCCTCTGGTGTGTTAACTTTACCCCATAATTTATTATCATCTGCAAATTTGAACAGAGTGCTTTCTACACCTTCATCCAAGTCACTGATGAAGACATTGAACAGCACCAAGCCTTGTGGGATTCCACTGCCCACATCTTTACAGGTCGATACCAACCCATCCAGTTACTTCTGCTCTTGTCCAGTTTCAGCAGTGTCTTTCACCATCTTTTCACATAAAGATTTCAGTCAGATCAGCCCTTACACAAATGAAGTTTTGTAACTGAGGAAGGATCCTTACTGAACCATACATTACACAACAAGCATTTTCCTTTTATTTATTTATTTATTTATTATTTTTGCTTTCTTATCTATGCAGGGAACCTCTTTAGCCTATTTAAACTTTGACCTTTTGGAAGTAAGGTGGAATTACCTGGTGCAGTTGGAATTGACCTGTAAGCTACCAATGCTCAGAACAGTTTTTCCTGTCCTAGACTTTCTTAAGCTATTGACACAGGTTTTTCAACATCCTCACTTAGTCAAGACAAGGAGTCACCTGAGAGAAAGTCATGAAAGCATGAGTGGGGCGTTCACAAGCATTCAGTGCTGGTAGAAGGGTGCTGCCACTGCACTCATTAGTACACCTCCGTCATTTTCAGTAAGAACTGAGTAGGGATACCGAAGCGTAGGACAGGAAGGCCCTTCTAAGCCAGTCAATTCCTGTCCCTTGCATCCAGTGACAATTGTTAACTGAAGAAATCACCTACAAAGGTAATACCAACTCTGAAGAGCATGGTCTGTGCCACTACTTCACACCCAGTTAAAATGAACATGATTAATCTTTGCCTATGTGTTCTAACTCCACCTAACTCTGACTACAACCTTGGCTGTTAAGATGCTCACAGCTCACATGCTAAAATCAGGGCAGCAGCTGGCTGTGAAGACCAGAGCACAACCTCCCAAGCACACTTGTGTGTCCCCGTTGCACACTGATCAGTAACAGCCAACATCTCCAAATTCCTCACTCCGGCCAGTTGGCTTTGAACTCACAACGTGCCAAAGATGGCAGAAGAGAGTCCAAAGCACAAGCCTTTGTCTCTTTTTTTTAAAGGCTGTGGATTCCTAATAGTTTATGAGCTGGGAGTGGTGAAAGCTCTGAGGGAATTGGCACCTGAGATACTGAGATCAGCAACCAAAATCTATGGATCATCATCTGGGTCCATTGTGGCCTCGATAGTGACTTGTGGATGTGAGCTGGGTAAGCAAGCCCTGGTTAAATTTACTGTGTCTTACTGTGCTTTTTAAAGGAGAATTGATGGACTGGTCTGGAAATACTGATTGTTGTATTCATTTAGTAGTATATGGTCAACATAGAAACAGCAATAGTCACACTTTCTATTAAGATGCCAATACATATAGTTATGTATAAATGTTCAGTAATAGTTAATATATACAATGGTGCCATAGATGTTATAATATATGGTTTATTAATTGGCATGGTGTCTAACAGGTTGATCATTCTCATGGCTTACAGAAGATGCTGTTCAAATTTATAACATACCTATAACTTCTTCTATAATTTACTGACATTTATCAGTGGCACCTGAGTAGAAAGCATGGCTGAATGTAACCCTTTTTGCACACCCACATTTGGCAGTGCTGGGGGTTGCTATCCAAACTGCATGAGTGAGCTCTATTAGACACAAGGGTGTCTGACACGCTTGTCTGACGGCCAAAATGTGTTTGATCCTATATTTTAGAAAGTATCACATTCTCCATTTAAAGTCTTTGACAACTAAAAAAACACACCACATCCCCTAGTAACCTTTTTTGTAATTATAACATTATTAATTTTTTTATATTATAACAAAAATAGTAAAATCAAGAAAGTAAAATATAAACTAATAAGTAAAATACAATAAGAAAGCAAAACTAAAGTATTACAAAATAGATCATTAAACATACATACTATCTATTTAGTAAAGAATAGGGGAATGGGGAGAGCTTGACATGATATATTATCAACTAACAAATACACATGTACATTTAAAGGACACTGAACCACAAACAAATCCATTTATAAACGTAACAGAAGATTCATATTGCACCATATTTCTTCATATTGAGCCCAGTTTTGTCTATATACATATGTAATCTTTTCCACTAACACAACATGCATAAGTTCTTTTAACCATTCTGAGAATAAAGGTACACTGGGAGTTTTGCATTTCCTTAAAATGACCCATTTAGCCACCAAAACTATTATAACTAGCTATTTTTTTATGGGCACAGACAATGGTAATGAATCCATAATCCTTAATATGCATAGATCTAGCGATGGTACCACGTTAATTTTAAGTATCTTACAAAGTGCTACACATGCTAAGCCAAAAATAGTAATTTTAGGACAAAAGAATAAAATGTGACTAAGAGACCCAACCTGGTTTCCACATCCCCAGCAATAGTCATCCTAGGCAAGCCCTGCTTTAAATCACCTTTCTAGAGTCCAATAAAACCTATTTAATATCTTGTTCTGAAAAAGTCTTAAAAGCAATGGCTTAGAAGTTTTAAAAAGTGATTTCCATATACTATGCCCTTTCTCAACTGTTCTCCCATTTACCTTTAATAATAACATCTGCTGGATATAATAACGTATTAAACCATTTGTATTACCAACAAAGTAAGGTTTAGCCTTAGAATACAACACATATCTTTCCAAATTTGTATGTGACAAATTATTCCATATATTCCCATATGTCTTATTCAGCTAAGCACAGTTTTTGTAGAATATCTCATGCTCATTACATAACTGGAACTTATCATGTATATAAGCAAAAGATGCAAGGCTACCATCCTTAATGATAGATTTTATTGTAGCTATATCCTTTTTTTCCCCAGATATTTGAGATTCATTTATTATCTTTAAACTTCAGTTAAGGGTGTCCCCATAAAGGAATAAAGTGAGATTTTGTTAAATCAGAAGATGTTAAGGCTTTCATTTTCTGCAATGCACTCCATGAAGAGTTAAATCCAATGTTTAATTTCCGGGTAAACGCTTAAGAAATGGAAATGAGTATAATGCTCCAAACTTGGAAGCTAACTTCCCTTCCATGCTCAACCATATAGGTTTGTCCCCTGAAATAGTTTCATCCATCCAATATTTAAGCAACCTCACATGAAAAGCCAGTTAATATAAATAGAAGTGTGAGACACCCACTCCAACATGACACCATGCCATTTTAAACCATTCTTGGTCTTTTAAATTACACATGAGGTTGAATATCATTTTATTAATACACTTAAAAACAAATGCAGGTGCTTTCAAGGCCAATAAACTGAGTATATAGCTATTTTTGGGGTGGGGGGGAGATATTCATTTTGATTATTTCTATTCTTCCCATTAATGATATGGGCAGGGGGTCGGACTTGATGATCTACAAGGTCCCTTCCGACCCTACTTCTATGACTCTATGAATCTATGATATTGGAAGTGTTTTCCATATCTTTTTAATATTAGTTAAGATTGTATCAATATTTAGTTGCACCATATTGTAAAGATTAGAGCATCTAATCTGTATTCCTAAATTATCTATTACCTTATAGTTCCTTACAGTTCCTTAGCTGAGAATGGAAACATCTGGATGGATCTGGTCTCTTTGATGCATTCATAAAATAGGATTTATCCCAATTACTTTTGAGGCCTGATAACTGGCCAAACAACTCAAACAGAGCTACCACATGAAATAATAAATTACCTGGGGTTTTCAACAGCAGTGAGATATCATCTACATATACACTGATTTATACATTTGATCAAGAACCTTTATCCCTTCAATGTGAATTGATTGCCTAATAGCTGCTGCCAGAGGCTCCAATGCTAAATTGAGTAAGGGTGGAGAAACAGGACATCCCTGCCGCATATGTTTCTTGCCAAGCAAAATGAAGGTGATATCACACCATTAGTGGATACTGCTGTGAGAGGAGACCTGCATAAAATTGATATCCAATTTGTGAATTTCTCACCAAATTAAAATTAAGAGCAGATACTTGCATTTGGCCGCTAGAGGACCCTCACCGCCCCCCCCCCGGTCAGTGATCTGGTGCCCCCCCAGACTCGAAAGGCACCAGTTGCCCATGGTATATTGAATGAAGTGGCCAAGCTCCTGGGAGCAAAGAGGAAACATAAGAGAAAGAAGAAAAAAAACAAACAAAAAAAGACCCCAAAACCCCCCCAAAATACTATCACACTACTTTGGCACATTCAGTTCCCTGCTGGCTTATACTAACAGAGCCAAACTCCCACCCCACATACTAAATAGTTAAAACTATTAGATTGTTATTGCAGCATCAACCGTGTATTAATTTTACTAGCTTATCTAAGATATTAAAATCCACTAGCAAAAGCAGTAAAGAAAGTGGCAATATAACATCTTATACTAGAATATACTTTGCTGAGTGTCTGTGTAGATACAAATAAAAGGGCGTCTTTACACGTACTCCGGGATGTGGGGAGAGGGTGCTTTAATTAGAGTGGCTATTGGGAGCCGCTTTAATTAAAGCCCCCTCAGTGTCACGTGTATTCAGCGTCCCACACCTGTGCCCGATGCCTGCTCTGAGCATGCTAATTAGCATCAAAGCAGACTCGATTAATCAAACAAATTCATTAAAAGCGCCCGCAGCGTCTCGTGTATCCACCGTCCCACACTTCAAAATGGCGCCCCGCCACCATTTTGAAGTGCAGGGATGCTGCATACGTGAGCCGCCGAGCCTTCCAGCAGACTCGATGAATCATTTATAATGAATAGATCACGTAGTTATAATAAGAAATAAACCATAATTTATTCAATTATAAATCAAAAACTATCAACATGAAGTCGAGTCTGCTGGAAGGCTCGGCGACTCATCCCTGCACTTCAAAATGGTGGCGGGGGCGCCAGTTTGAAGTGTGGGATGCTGAATACACGAGACGCTGCGGGCGCTTTCATTGAGTTTGTTGGATTAATCGAGTCGACGCTAATTAGCACGCCTCAGAGCAAGCACTGGGCACAGGTGTAGGCGCCCAGGGTTACTATATAATCAACCCCTTGAGCACGCCAGCATTTAGTAAACAGCAAGCGATCTACTAACTGTTAAAAGATTTACACTTGGCCTTTGGTATAAATAGAACAGAGTTATGGCACCTCATTAAAGATGACTTCTGTAATGAAATAAATCCTGGAAGCGGCTTCTTCTGAGGTAATGAGCCCCTCAGTAAGAGGCACTGAGAAGGCCTCTCAGAGGGAGGGAAAGCTGCCTGCTCAGCCGCACACAAAATGGAGGGAGAGCTGTCCCCTCAGCGCCTCTGGGCCCCTGCACCAGCATCTCACGACCACAATGCCTCAGCCCTAAGTAAATAATTAATAACTAACGAGATAATAAAATAACAGTTCTCTTCAGGGAATCGCCACATTAGATCAGGATGAGATTTTTTTTTTTTTCCAGCTCCTTCCATGCCTCTGAGGGAGATATGCAACATGTCTCCTTTCCCTCCACCAACGGAAAAAAACCCGGCAGGGTATCGCATATAATATCTGACATCTGATCCACGATGCACCCACTCACTAGTAAATGGTTGGAAAAAGAGCTCAGGACCAGATCTTCGGGTGCTCAGCGCCCTCCATCGAGGCCAGATTCTCAAACGGGATCTGCACCCTTTGCTCCTTGGGGAGTCCAGAGCCCCCTCTGAACCTCTGTCCTTGCTCAATGGCTCCCTGATTTTTAATTTAGGACCCCCCTGCGCACCCCCAAATGAAGCTGGTGTCACACCGAGGCTTCCCGGTGTGATCTTCAACCCCCAGATTGAGCAAGGGGAGCAAAGGAGCGCCGTCTGTTTTCAGGCACACGTCTCAAACTCCCCAAAACGTCACTAACGTTTGGCAATCGGGACCCGGTGTAGAGATGATCTCTTTTATTAGACCAACAAGATTTTTGCAACAACAACAACAACATTAAAATCTTTAATTGCAAGTTTTCATGGCAAATTCTTTCCTTGCAAGCTTTCGGGCACAAGCCCCCTTCATCAGGCATCGGAGAAAAGATTGGAAAAGTTCTCCTGGGTAGGAATGAAAGTTCGTATTTCATAGGATTTTACGGAGGGGTCAACAGATGGCAAACTCCTCTGGGCAGGCAGATCCTAGCAAATTACCTCGAAACAAAGGCAGGAGCAGGATCTCAGGTGGTGACAGTTGCTTCCCGCTTGGGAAAATATGAAGATTTCATTTCAAAATTAATTAATAATTGTGGGATTGAGACCGCCCTGCACACCACGTCATTATACAAACTACTGAACACGCTCACTTTTCCCCCTAGATGCAGTGTTTGAGGACTACTGCACAATTGTGAAAGAGGTCAGAAATGTCATGCTTGGCCCTATATCTCCAAATCTCGATTTACTTCAAAAACTACAGAAGTTGCTATACAAAGCCCTCCCAGATAATGCCCACCAGCTGGCTTCAAGGAGGCTGCACATTATGCTCACTCGTGTATCGGACAGACAGAGCGTCGGGGTGTCAGACTTCGGGTCGAAGGAGGAGATCATTCAGGTGAGAGCAGCTGTCTCAGTGCTGGTGTGACGCTAAGGGTACAGAGTCGAGGAGCTCAGTGGTAGCAGGTGTATTGTATTTGCAAGTCCCGATCCACAGACGGACACCCTGTGCCTGTTGTAGCTCTTCCAGGTAGGGGTCACACTGTTGAGCTCATACTGCACATGCGAATGTTTTCAGCCTGAGAAGTAGCCAGGTCAGCTCCTGGCATCAGGGAGGATGGCGGCGGTCTTGGCTTATGATGGATTAACAGATCCCAGCCGAGTACACGGGGAATAGAGCAGTTGCAAGGGGAGCAGCACCTTCAGGAGCAGGAGAGGGGACATTTCCTGAGCTGTCCCCAATGAGCTCGGACCCCACAGCGAAGATTATAACCCCAAATCTTGTCAGCTCGACCGTGCACGGGCAAAACAGAGGCATCGGGCAGAATGAACCCTTTCATGAATCACACACGCCACTCTCTAAATGGCGTGAGCAGTGCCCTGGGTGCCAGAGGCTGCGCCTTGAGGCCTAACTGGCACTTCAGCTGCCATCAGACGTAGGTTTGGGAGCAGCACTTGGACTTGCGTTCACTCTATCTGAAATCCTCCTGAAACTCTGGCAGCTGAACTTGCATCAGGATCTATCTGTGTCCAACAAGGGCTGCAACGCTTTGTTCAGATGCCGTAGCGGAGCCGGCGGGATTTCCCACCCACACAGACCCTGTGGCCTGGCAGCCAGGCCGCTGGGCACCACTACCCCTCTCCATATATTTAGGACCCAGGGTCCTAAATATACAGGAGGCCAATATATACAATATATACATTGGCCTGGCACATACAATATACATGTGCCAGGCCAATATACATTGGCCTGGCACATGAAACCTGGCATGGCCGGACCTCTGCTCCAAATACCCCAAACAGCATGATCCAGGTGCAGGGAGCACTCCTCATCCCCATGTTTAAAGAGAGTCCTGCTCCATTATCTCTCTGTGCTTCCTTTCCCCACAGGCAGTGATCTGCAGCTGCTTCATTCCTGCCTATACTGGGTACATCCCTCTCTCTTTCCAGGGTGTGGTGAGTATCCTTGGCTGAGACCCGGGGAACCGCTCAGCTGCTGCCAGTGGCTTTTGTGATCAACACAGATAAAAAAAATCAGGAGTCTGACCCTTAAGCCCTCCCCATAGTTCCTCCTCATCCAATTTCCAGCAGAGGCAGGAGCCTGTGAGCACGGGTCAGGATTTTAGTTAATTACTGCCACAGGTCCCTCCATCTCCAAGACCTTACCCTGGGGATCCAACTACTGCCACATCTGGAGTCCAAGTCTGTCCTTACAGCCTTCCAGGGCACAATGACAGCTGGATGGCAAACTGGTTAACCAGGGCATAGGTATGTTTTGTAGAGATGGGGGAAAATCTTAAAGCAGCCCCTTCCCTCGAGTTGCATGCCCGGATGAAACAGCTGGTTCTGGTTCCCCTGTAGGGAGAACGAGTAGAAGGAAAGTCCCTCCCTCAGAGACCTTGGTATCTTGAACACAGCCGGTGGACAACCAGTTAGATGGGAGGGGAACATGGGGGAAGATGCAAGAGGGAAGGAAAGAAGACTTGCAGAGCTGCACAAGCACCTCACTGCTTGCTGGACCTTAGTTGGCTACCTGCGACTGAGAGGCCTACCCGAGGATGGGAGTCCTAAGGCCAGAGGGGCACAAGATGAGGCAGTGGCTGTCTGCAATGCACAACGGCGTTGGTCTCCAGCAAAACCCAAAGAAAATGCGATTGTCAGAGGAGCTGGCCAATGACCGAGAAAAGCTGGGAATTTTGGCAGAGCAAAGACAGCAGAGCAAAATTGCCAATGAAAGTTTGTAGAGCAGCTTCTAACTGAGGCCTGGCTTGTTCTGAGAGCCAGAGAGAGCCAGGGAGAGAGAGAAAACTAGAGAAAGGGGCACATATCCATGGCCAGGTAGTGAGGGCACTCACTTGAGTGGGGTAACTTGTATTCCCAACCCTACAGAAGAGCCCTCAGTGCTAGAAGCTGACTCTCAGCGTGGGAATGGGGGGCATTATAAAGACCCAGGCCTGCTTCAGACCCATGCACAAGCGTGATCCACTCATTGCTTCACACAGATCCGTGAGCTGTTACCTAACGCAAATATTGTGCCTGTTTTTTTCTAGCGCTATATTGACGGAAACTTCAGTAGCCCAGAGCCTTCATTCTACGCAAAGACCATGATTATAGTGTCTGCTCTTGCATTTGACAATGACATCTGCCCAAGGGATAAGCCAGGCACTTTCTTCAGTTTTTACAGTTTTCAGCAGCAATTTCAGATACAACTAGAAAACCTCCACAGGATAGTCTGTTGTTTTTTTCCACCCAGCCATCTGGTGAGTAGCCATCAGGAGTCAATGCAACCTCAGACTTACCTTCTGCTGTGTGCCTGGAACAAGCACTGTTTACAAGCCTGACATCTTTTCTTGGTAGGCGGTGCATGAGTTCTTTCTAAAAGGGTATCATGATGCTGGCTTCTACTTGGAAAGAAACAGTAAGTACTGTGCTGAGGGGGACAGAGAAGAGATGATATTCCCTGAGGGAGGATGGACAGGAAGTTTAGTTCATAAAAGTCTCTGCATCTTACAACTGACTTGGAGCCAAAACTGCATTTGTTGCCCACTGCTAGTCAGGACTGCTGCCAAATCTGACCTCTAGCACTCAACCATGTTCATTATTGATCCCATTACATGACATTCAGATGCCATTATGGCCCTTCCTTTCCCCATCTCAAAGCAGTCCATGCAACTCCAGAAATTCTCCTGAGTTAACACTGGTTATTACACAGCTCTAAGTATTTGTGAGAATTGAATCTTTCTTTTTTCTGTTCCAAAAGGAGAGTTCGGCATAGATTTTCTTGCCAACAACGTGACACTCCCATTAGCCAGTGAGTCCTGTAAGAAAGGCTTGTCCCAACCCATTGGAGGTCTTGAAACCAGAACCCATCAACAAGGATCCTCACTTCCACTGACGCAGCTTACAAGGACTTCACCAGACACCATGGAGTGATGAATGGGGTGGAGAATGGAAAAGAGGATTAAATGCAGCAGCTGCCCCTATGCTGGGACCAAGGTAGAGAATAATCTACATTGCTTTTTTTTCCTCTAGTTATTGCTAGTCAAGTAACAGTGACATTAGGATCCACATGAGCTCAAGTCCCTGTGAAGGTCAGGGTCAATGTGCTCCCAAATTCATTAGGGCAGCCTTGGAAATGTTCTCTTGGGATCATTGCCTCTTTATACTTGATTTTCCTGATCTAGTGTGTGCTTGAAATCAAGACCCCTATTATACTCTTTGTGCTTGAAAGGAAACAATGGGATCAACATTGCTTTCCAGACAATATTCTTTTGCTTTCTAGCCAAAAGGACAATCAATTTTTACATTTTTCTAGCTGATCAAGATAGAGAGATTAATTTTCACTGGGGCTTAGCGGATACAATTTTTTCCCGATTGTTCATACCTGCTGGAGAATGTACATTTCTAATGTTAATGCTCCTTCTACTCACAAGCCCTCAGACCTCTATCAGCTTACTTCCCTCTGCATTTCCAGCCTTGCCTGAACATGAATGTACACCATTATAGTTAGATCAGGCTGCATTTGGTATGGACACTTCTCTCATTTGACACACAGCTTATCTGTGCTTATATTCAACCTGTTCTTAATAGATTTAAATGAAACCAACGTGAGCCATGTTGTAACCAACTTTTTCTACTTCTCCATCATCTTGCACAAAATAATTGTAGTCCCAAAATAAAACATTGGTGCATCAGCCATTACAGCATTTCAGATTTCAGATTTTAATGTTTATTCCAATCTCCTTTTTGCCGCAGAGCTCAGTCAAATAAAAAATGTAGGGGCAACTGGGCCTTTTATTTTTAGCATCTCTCTTTCAGTCTGCAGATGTACCCTTCTTTGTCCCCACTGCTGGGGAAGTAGAATTGAGCCCGTGGGGGATTGTGATACTTACTGGCTAAAAGAATTTGCCGCTAAGATTCACAAAGGGCAATAGGATTTGACACTTCAAGACCAAAGAGTTTCCACATTGGGCCCCTGGTGTCACCTTCTCCTTTTATATTCAATTATTTGGGGAACCTGTTCAGCCTTAGACTTGTGTGGGGCTGGGGCTGAGGCTGAAGTGTGGATTCTTCCTACATCCACTTTGCAATGTTTTGCTGAATCTAGCCATCATGGCCTAAAGCCCCAGACAAGGGTTGTGGCTGCTGAGCCCTGACCCTGACCCTGACCCTGATGTAGGTTGTCTAAAGCACCTCAGGACTTTAGGAGCAAAGTGGAGTGAAATGAAGGATGTATTAATAATTGGACATTTTCTTTTAAGCATGCCTTTTCTCTACCCTGCAAAATGAAAGACAAGACAACACTGCACTGGCTTCTCCCAATGCATGGTTTCAAAAGCAATGGACCCAGTCAAGACCCAGGCGACACACAAAAAAGGATCTTCCCTGATGACACCTTCCTTCTTAGACAAATGAGGAAGAATCTGTTACAACAAACCCAAAGCCTGCGCATGCCTGTGTCATACTTGCATCATTTCTGATGCTCCGCTCTCCCCAAAGAGGGAGGCTCACCTTCCAGGTCCCCCAAAAGAGGCCTGGCTCTGCATTCTCCTGGCGGTTCATGCTACAACTGTATCACTGCATCCGTGTCTTGGAAATGAAAGGTCAAAGCCTGGCTCTTCTGTCTTTGTCACCTTTGATGCAAGTGCAGTGAAGCTGAGGCTCACTCCCCAGTACAGGTAGCACAGGGAATAGGAAGACAGAGGGCAGCACCTGCTGTCTCGCTGACCAGGGCAGGTGTATCCAGGTGAGCACACCTGCCCTGCTGCTGACCACATCTCAGGATACATCCCAGCTCAACTGATCTCCTTCATTAGGTGTAACAAACATCACTAGTTGTCCCACCCATTGATCTTGTGGGACAATGGGCAAAGTGTTCCCCACTTCCAGAGACACAACTTCTCAATCTCCAGGATGCTTCTTTGTAAGCAGGGAACCCCACCTTTCCCCGCTTCTAGAGACATACCCCAGAGATCCCCAAGCCACATTTCTGGCAGCAGGGAAAACTGAGCAGGTGCTCCCAAGGCTTGAGGCACCTGATCCTGTATGGGAATTCCAGGGTATGCGGGATTGAACCCCCATGCCCCGAGAGCTCCTGCCTGGGGCAGTTGGAGAGTGTGGGTAGCTCCAGCAAATAGATATCAGCAATAAAGTGGCACAAATTATTACTACCTTTTGTCAGAGCCACACATGGTGGAAACAAGCATTGCCTTTCATCACCTTTGTGACACCATAAACATTTTTATCATGGCACAAAGCAAAACAAATAGGCATCCATACTCATTGTCATGCCACCATAGATGGAGTCACAACAGAGCAGCGAGGAGGAGAAGGAGCACCTCAACTTTATCTATTAAGAGTTTTTCAGGGACTTAAGTAGAATGGAATGGAATAGATGCTTTAATCCCCTTTGATGCCTGATAGGTAGAATAGAATCTGGCTTTTGATGTACATATTATGAACCCAGGAGTCTGGTACATGATAGGAGAGAAACCACAGAGACGGGAATGGGAGAGACACTTTGTTATTCAAATGTTCATTTGAATGAAAGGGAAAGTCCTGACTGCACAGAGGAGAATATGTCATCGCATGACGAACAAAACCCCACTGTGTACAAAGCAAAGCAAATAACCCCCATCACCTTGCAGCACATGATCCTCCCTCCTGGTCCTATAGTAATTCACTTGATACTATCTCATCCTGCATCATATTTAACATAGATTGCCAGCTTAGGAAAATGCCCTGTAGGCTCTGAGTCCTGTTCAAGTAAAAAAAAACAAGGGCTAGTAATCAGTCATAGCAAGACTTGGTTGTACCTAAACTACCACAATAACTTTGTGAGCCTGCAATAGCCTGAAATGAAATAACGATCATATATGCATTTATAATGTGCCTTTCATCTGCAGAACTCAAACATAAGGTTTTCATCCAGAGATCTCAAAACACTTTACAGAAGAAGCCTGTACCATTATATCCGTTTCCCAGAGGCAGAAACTGAAGCATAGAGCAGTGATTTGCCCACAGTCAAGCAGCAAACCAGTACCAGAGCCAGAAATGAACCACTCTCTCCTGAGTCTCAGATTATTGCTCTGTGCCTTTAGAAATAACCGTGGAAGTCCAAAACGATCATAAGGCCAGGTCCACATGAGCAGGAGCATGCATTTGCAACAGCACAAATAGCAGTGTGCCGCTACTTTGTGCTGCAGTGCCCACCCCTGCGCATGCCGTTTGCAGCAGGATACATTGTCCCACTGATCCATGTGCTGTGTGGACAGGGGGAGCTGGTTGGTGCACAGGGTGCATTAGTGCAGGGCTAGCCTTCGCATTGAGGCAGTCTGGGCATTATAGACATGCTCGGAGAGGCAGGGGGGCACTTTAATTAGTGAGCTGCGCTAATTAAAAGTGCCCAAGCATCGCATGTATCAGTGTCCCCGCACCAAAAGAAGGTGGTGTGGCACTTTGAACGAAAGCTCATTGATCAAGCTTTAGTTTAAAGTGCCCCGCCACCATTTTTCAGCATGGGGACGCCAATACACATGACTCCAAAGCAGGGGTGGGCAAAATGCGGCCCGGGGGCCGGATGTGGCCCACCAAGCCATTCTATCTGGCCTGCAGGGCCTCTAAAAAATTTAGAAAATTAATATTAAGCTGCCCTGGGCTGCCTGTCATGCAGCCCTCGATGGCTTGCTGAAACTCAGTAAGCGGCCCTCTGCCCAAAATAATTCCCCACCCCTGCTCCAGGGATGCTGGAGTGTGTTAATTTCCATGCTCCAGCAGACTCGATTAATCAAGATTAATCGAGTCTGCTCCAACGGACTGGATTTACAGCATGTTGGAGCAGCCTTGCTGCATGTCTACAGGAGCCCCTGTGCCCCAGCCAGCCAGGGAGTGGCACATGGAGCCAGGGGAGCAGGCAGCCAAGGGGTCCATCTCTGTGTGCTGTGGAGTCCCAGTGCTGAGGCACCCTGCACCCCAGCCAGCCACTCCCCAGCTAGCTGGGGGAACAGGGTGCCGCGAGACAGGGGAACAAGCAGCCCTGGGCTAGCTGCTCCACTGTAAAGCGCCCACACTGAAGCACATGGAGCCCCCACACTGAGGCACGCTACAACCCAGCCAGCCATGGAGCAGCTGACTGGGGAGCAGTGTGCTTCGAGACAGGGGAACAGCTAGCCCAGGGCTGGCTGCTCCCCCATCTCCACGTGCCTCAGAGCAAGGGCTCTTCAACAGAGCCCCCATGCTGAGGCACTCAGAGCCAGAAGGACAGCTAGTCCAGGACTGCCTGCTCCCTCATCTCAAGGCACCCTGTGCCCCAGTGTTTGTGTTTGTCCCAGGAAATGCCACTTCGGCATAGTTTGCACCACTTTTTTATCAGGATTTTCTTTTCTTTTTTTTTGCTACCGGGAAATCCCAGTAGCAAATTTTGCCCTGGTGCTACAAATTAACAGCATGGCACCCAGATTAAAGTGAAATTCATGCAGTTTGTGGTGCTGGAAAGAGGTTTGTGGCACCACAAACTGCACACACCTGCATGTCTGGATCCAGCCAAGGAGGCTAGGGCACTAAGCAAACTCAGTGAGAAACATAGGTGTTCATAGACCCATAGAATGTAATACCAGAAGGGACCTCAGAAGATCATCAGGTCCAGCCCCCTGCACCAAGCAGGAAAGATAACTGGAGGTCAGGTGACCCCAGCAAGGTGACTGTCTAGTCTCCTCTTGAAGATTTCCAGGGTAGGTGATTGCACCACCTCTGGAGGGAGCTTATTCCACAGTCTGGACACCCTGACTGTGAAGAAGTTCTTTCTAATGTTGAGTCTGAATCAATCTTCTGGAGTTTGTAGCCATTACTCCTAGTTTTCCCCTCGGGTGCCCTGGGGAACAGTTGCTCACCAAGCCCCTGATGTACTCCCCTAGTGTAGCGGTAAGCTGCTACCAGGTCCCCTCTCAGCCTTCTTTTCCTCAGGCTGAAGAGTCCCAGATCCCTCAGCCTTTCCTTGTATGTCTTGCTGTGTAAGACTCTGATCATACAGGTGGCTCTTCTTTGGACTCTCTCAAGCTTGTCCACGTCCTTGTTAAAGTGTGGTGCCCAGAACTGGATGCAGTACTCCAGCTGCAGTCTCACCAGCGCTGAGTAGAGCGGAAGAATCACCTCCTTGGTTTTCCTGGAGATGCATCGATTGATGCACGTCAGAGTATTATTTGCCCTCCTGGCTACAGCATCACACTGCCGGCTCATATTCACACTGTGTTAGGCAGAGAGAAAATCCTACCTTCCCTAGTCAGACCTAATCTAGGAAAAAGGCTACTGGAACTACTCATGGAGTAGGTATCAAGGAAGAGGGCAAAGATGTCAGGATCTGGCCCATCATCCTAATTAAGGAAATCCTCCTATCACCATCAGTGGGCACTTCGTCTGAGTGAGGACCAGAGGAGCAATGGTGTCTCTGCCACAGTCCCAGTGTAAGGCCAGAGTTACCCTACACCAGGAGCTAACGGGAAAGCAGACTACAACTTAATTGATCCCCTTTCCCGCTCCCCAGCCTGAAATCCCCTTTCCTCTATAATTTGCATGATGAAACATTCCCTGTATCAGCCCAATATCATGTGCAGCATGTAACTCCTACCTCCCCATCACATTCCCTGCCCCTCCATGCCTACTTTGAACCTACTGTAGTATTATCTGTGCATAAAGAGAATTTGAAGGCACAAACATGTATGTGTGTGCGGCTTGTTTGCATCTGAAAAGCTTTGCCAGTATTGCTGTATCTATTAAGCTATATACCCCCCTAGCGGAGAGAGAGTTTATACCAGCAAAATATTTGTTTTCATATAACCTGCTGTTCTTATTATAGGTTGATCCTGCATACAAGTCAACTGTCATCTTTATGGTTCTTTAAGAGGGAATAAATGGCCTATTTATAATTAGAACAATATGATAGTTTTAAACAGTATAAGATATACCAGTGAAAGACGCTTTTTGCTCTTGTAACTGCACTTACACTGAGGTTTCTGTTGATACACAAGTGTGATTTTTCTCTTTTTTTGACACTCACAACTGTCAACATCTTTATATATAGATGAAGTCATATGTGGACTCTATTTTCCTGGATGAGAATCACAGGGATTAAAGGAAAGGTGTCTGCATCTCCAGTAATCTTTAATCAATCTCTGTTTCTTTCCATGGAGTTTATACTAGGAATGAATGTGGGCTTGCATGGGGAATTTCTGTATTATTTTTATGAAAAGCACGCATGATTCAGTTTGCCCACTCCCTTTGGTCTTGCGACCTGCTGGGACTTAAGGGGTTAAATTCTTTGGAAAGGGAGAATAAGAAGTCAGTGTTAGGCATCAGGTCAACCATCTCTTTCCAATAAACATCCTTCTGCTGAGAAAGAAGGCAGCTATAAATATAGAATAGCACCACAAGTACTGGCATTCATCTGCTTGCCTGCCTGCCTGATTAGCCTGCTTTGCATGTAATATAAAAGATATTGCAGACAATACAGTATCTGTATTAAAGCACAGTTCATTTGACCTGTAATTTAATTTACATCCCCTTTCTTTGCCCTCCATTGCTGACAGTGAGAATATGCCTGAATGGATGCTCTCTGAGTCGTTCAGAAAGTGTTGGAAACTCACAGCAGCAAATGTGGGAATACATGTCCCTCACATAATCATCTTGACTGCTAATTGTCAGAGAATGGCCCCAGGATATGAGGCTTATTGCCTTTTCCAAAAGTTTGTCATTAATTATGATAAACAGAAGATATACCAGTGGGACTGGAGGCCAATTCAATTAAACTTCCTAATCGAGGAGAGAACTTAAGGACCTGTGCTTAAAGTTAAATATGTGCTTAAGATCTTTTCAAAACTGGGGCTTTTGGACCATAAATCAAGTAAAATAAATACCAGTAATACCCATGGGTTAAACTAGTTCCTAAAACTGAGCTATAATACATAGAGATGTGGTTAATACAGAACAGAACTAGGTAATATTTGTATTAGACACTGCATATACATTGAATATATTATACACTAGCTATTTATCCTATAGATATTACATAGGTACACACACGTTATACATTTTAAAAAGGCTTTTTAATCCGTTATTCACAAAATTATACTAAAATCAGGAGTACATCTGTTACAGATGTTCCCCCCCACACCACCACACACACACATGCACACACACACATCCATTAGCATATTTGTGTCCTTCACAGGGGCAGTGCTGAGTTAGAAGATACCACAGGCATCAGCGGCGGTTCAGAAAGTGCCTTCACAGGTAATAATGCTCAGTCTGGACCTTCACAGCTGTTGACTCTGAACATTTCCCTGTCCTGTTGAGACAGAAGTAAAACACCAGTGAGGATCCCATCCATATCTGAGTGTGTACCACATCATGGATAAGCACATGCCCTGGTGTATTCTGAAGCAGGTATCAGAATTGCTGCAAACCCTACTGGCCCAAGCTAATTTATAAGCCCTGGGGGTTACAAGGAAATCTATCCTAGAGCAGGGGTGAGCAAAATGCAGCCCATGGGCCGTATGCGGCCCACCAAGCCCTTCTATCCAGCCTGCGGGGCCCCTAAAAAATTTAGAAAATTAATATTTATCTGCCCCTGGCTGCCTGTCATGTGGCCCTCGGTGGCTTGCCAAAAATCAGTAAGCGGCCCTCTGCCCAAAATAACTGCCTGCCCCTGTCCTAGAGTCAAGGTTATCCCATCACTACATCCAGGAGGGTTTCTGCTTTCTGCAGCAGTTCAGAAACAGGATACTACATTAGATGACCTAATCCAGCATGACAGATCAAGACCATCATTTTCCCTCATCACACTGCTAGGAAAACCAGGCTGTGCCCTGAGAAGATCTACAGGGGCCAGATATAGAGAGAACCCACCACACACCTGCTGCTGAAATGTTTCATAGCTGTTTCTATAACCTCACTGCTCCAAATGGCTTCCCCTGGCTTCTCAGGAGGACATGATGATTCACTAGCCCTGCCTCTACTCTTTACTCCTTAAAACTCTTTAGGTGCTAGCTGATGGCAACCACTAAAAAACAGAAATCGCACCCCATACATGTGCTCCCAGAATCCTGTGCCCCGCACAGTGCAACACACTGCTTCTGCTTTCCACCTCCTGCCAGCAACCAGGAGCAGGTTTTACTCTATTAAGCGGCCCAGTGATGGGCTTAGTCTTTTTGCTGCTTTAAACTTCCAGCCTCCTATCTCAGCCCAGTTTGCCAGAGCCAAGAAGTGAAAGTGTCCCACATTCAGGCTATTTTTGCTATATAATTGACATTAAATTCAGCATAGTAGTGCATAAAAATAGACTAGTATTCCTTTAAATAGTTTGCAACTTCTCTTGTAGTGCCCACTAAGTTCTATATTTACAAGCTGCCAGAAAACCAAAGTTGCAGTGTGTGTTGCAGGGCCTCACATGCTTATATATAGTTATAAATGCAGTTAGCTGGGACATAACAGTGCCCACATGATCTCTTCATACTGCTGCTGTTTACAGAGCAGAAGACACAAGAGTTGTACACACAGAGACCAGATACACAGCAAAATGCATTGGCAAGGGGGTAAATAGAACCCAAAAGCTCATGACTCAGTGTGTCAATGATCAGAAGGATAATATCCATATGAATCAAGTGGTTTATGAGAAATTAATCTGTGTGTATCTCCTTCACAGTCATCTTTAATGGCTAGTTTGTCCAGCTGTGATGCCTTTTATAAGCCTAATAATACACAACCATGAATGCTTAATACATAAAGATTGTTTAGAAACTGAAAATGTTTGTCAAAAATGATTTTTTATGGAGAAAAAACCCATATGGGTAAAAAAATATTCAGGTTTTAACATAAAACCCCCAAATCTTTGTGGTGCTGAAAACTGACGGCTTTTCCATTTTCTGATAAAACCTCAACATTTTCACTCAAAAGGCTTGAAGAAAAAAAACCCCAAATATTTTTATGCAGAAAAAAAATGAAGAGCTCTAGATATCGGCCACCAGTTGGACTGAATGATACCAGTGTGTCAGAGCTTTTATGTGATGGGGGGGATGGGGGCAGGAAATAAGAGAGAGAGAGAGAGGAAAGGAAATGATGACCTTAGGCTTCAAAAACTACAGGAAAAGTCAGGAAATCATAATTCAGTTCCAATCTCTAGGAAAAGTGTATATTTTACTGTGTCTACACAGAGTCGTAAAAAGGCAGGGCTGGAAAGGACCTCTGACGGCCATCTAGTCCAGCCCTAGCCTGAGGCAGGGCCATCCCTATCCAAACCATCCCTTACAAATCCTTGTCTAACCTATTTCTAAAACTATACAATCAACCCAGTCACACAACTACTAGGCAGAGCAAGCCAACCTGCCACAGGTAAATCAGGTGGGCAATGAAGTGCAGTTCTGCTGCTGCAAGGGCTGTTAAACCCCCATCACTTCATACAGTAGGTCCCTGATCTCAGCTGGAGCAATAGGTGTGACAGTAGCATACACAATGGTATAGCTAGATGCTCAGCCAGCATCAACTGGTGTCTATGGAAGCTCCTCCAGTTTACATGACCTGAGGTATCTGTTTAGATGTGCTGTCACCACAGACTTGTTTCTCCTCCCTTACCTTGAGATTCCTGTTGTAGGAAAACTCTGCAAAAGAGTCCTGGAGGTACTGGTTTCCAAACCCCATGATCCTGTTCACAGTATGGTTACAGATGCCTGCTACCTTGGCAGTCAGGTGCACGGCAAATGCAAACTGCACTTCTTCAGGATGCCTATCAGGCGCACTGGCTGTCACTTCATTGTTGACGTAGACATCAGCTAAGTGTTTGAAGGAGCTATAGGAGATGTTTCTGAAGAATGCACTGAGTCCAACATCTTCTTTTATCTGTGTAAGAAGTGAAACAGTAAGACACATATTCAACCACTCTGTACATAACCATCAACCTCAGCAATGCACTCACCCAAGAAAACTCTCTATCCATCTCTGTCCATTTCCAAGACAAAATCTCCCTTATCTCTCTGGCTGGAATTCAGCTCTGTCAGCCCAAGGCAAATGCACCACTTACAAGCTGTTAAGTCCAAAGTACTGCACAAAAGTAAATTCTGCTAGATTTCCTTTGGACTTAACAAACATTTTGACTCTCCCATGTCTTCCGAGATCTTATCTGAAACCCACTGAAATCAACAGTCATCTTTTCACTAGCTTCATTGGCTTGTGGATTTGCCTTCCTCACAAGATGCACTCACACAAGAAAAAGCTTTGAGAACCTTGAAAGATACTGGTGTAACATGGCTTAAAAACCTAAGACTTTCAGTGACCAGAGCCTTCATTGGCATGTGCAGTAAGTCACTCAGATGTGGGAAAAAGATTGATGGGGCACAGGTTTAGA